CTAAATGATGAAATAAACTTGTAACTTTAATTATTGAGATCGATTTTTGAAATGCATTTACTATTTGTCTTTTTCCTTGTTACAAACAATTATATCTGCAAAGTATACACCAACTTTTGTAGAATATTAAAACTCAATAAAATAATACTTATGTTGTATTTTACACTATAAAAATAGATACTTTTATAACATAATTTAATCCCCTTTTCTGATTTTGCATCGCAAATTATTGTACATTGTCCAAAAATATCTTTTGACTTGCATAAAAATTCAAGTCATTCATAAATATGTATAGGTAATTCTGAATATTTATAAATGCATTTTGAGTACCTAAAATATTTAAAAATGAAAATTTAAAATAATATTTCTTTTTCTAGAATATATTTTTTGGAGAAATAAAAATTGAGAGATAAATGTTATTCCTGTTGATATTTCTAATAATTTTTTTTTTTAAACTATAAAAAAAGTGTCCCGTGTAAAATTTTGCACCGAAAAAAAGGTAAAATATCAGGCCGTACAATTCCGGTAATAAAAATTTCGGAAGGGCCCGAACATCGTCACTCTGCTCAGCAGCTGCTGAAACCTCCAAAGCTGAAAACACTACTTTTGGCGGCAACTTTGGGAACTTCTTTCTTTTTGAAAGCAAATGGGAGAAGAGGAAGAGCATCCTCCAGAAATTCAACAGCACCAAACAAATGATTCATTAATCGAAATTATTGAATCCACAGATACAGCACAACATAATCAGCAGGAAGTGTACTCATGGCCCTCGATGAGGTTTGATGTCCCTCCGCAGAGAACCTTCCATTTCTTTCAACAGTTCAGGACCGTCAGGAACCCTAACAATTTCCTCAAAGGCGTCAAATGGTGCGCAGTTGTTTTTTTTTTCTTTACTTAATTTTTTTTTTCGTTTCCTGAGTTTCTGGTTTTGAACTTTGTGTCATGGTTATCTGTTTGTTAGGTCACCAGATGGATCGTGTTTTCTCACGAGTTCAGAGGATAACACTTTTCGCGTATTCTATTTGTAAGTTCGTTGAGCATCACTAGATAATTTGGTTGATTTTGATATCTGCTTTGTAGTTTGATAGTGCTTCTTTCGTTATTGATATCTGAAATGAGGCAACAGTCTTCTTAAGAAATGCAAGAACAATGAAATGGTTTGCTTTTTGTGATAATATTGTCTTTCTGCCTTGTATATATTGGATATGGAATGTTACGTCTTTACTTAGGGTTTTTTATTTTCCTTAATCAATTCTTCATCAGGCCAGAAAGTGGAAGCACTGGTTATGTTAATGATTGTTCCGTACTCCCTGAAGAAGGTTAGTCTGATTTTACAAGCTATTTATCAAAGAGTTTATCATATTTTGCCATAGATTCTAACTGAATTACGTTGTAACATGAAAACTAGGAAGGAATAGTGTTTATCTCAAAAAATTGGAAGGAATAGTGTATAGCTGCAAACTTTTCTTTGCATGGTATTCGGTCTAAGAGTGGCAGTGTTCACTAATCAATGTCCATACTAACCTGATTAAGCTACTTTTCTATAAGCTGTTCAGTTTGGTTCTCTCAAATTTTTTAAAATTTTGCTTTTATTTATGATAATCGTATATGGTACAGATTCCTACACTGCAAATCTTGTTGTAAATGAAGGAGAATCTGTCTATGACTTCTGTTGGTACCCTTTCATGTCTTCGTCAGGTGTGAGTGTGATCTTTCTTAGTCTAAATAAATGCAAATGACCTGTACATTCAAATAACTGAATATAATTTACGCTGACTGGAATTCAATGAAAATTGGTCGGCATTTCAGACCCCGGAACCTGTGTATTTGCAAGTACTACTCGAGACCATCCCATTCATCTTTGGGATGCTAATTCTGGCGAGGTACTGATTCTTCTTTCCCCTCAATTTATTTTTTTTCTTCGCTTTTTTCCTTTACAGATGAAATAGTGATATTCTGAACTCTCAATTGATTTTTTGGCCTTTTTTCTCTGCAGAAAGTGCATGGGCCTTTCTTAAGCCTTTAGATTTTCTTTATGGATTCTAGATGGCTATTTTGGAAATCTAGTATATGTTTTCAACATTTTTCTGCTCCTTTAATTGTTTTTAAATTGCTCTGTCATTTCACTGACACTCACACTTGCAGCTGCGTTGCACATACCGGGCTTATGATGCCATGGATGAGATCACCGCTGCATTTTCAATTGGGTTTAATCCTGCTGGCACAAAGTAAGCAAACTTTATCTGAAAAAGGTTAACTCGTTTCATATTGCTATAGTATGAGTTAGTTGTGTATTGCACCCAATTTTCAGTTTAGTATGGACAGATATAAGAAAAAGATAGTATGTTTCTTTAAAATTGAATATGAAGTATTGGATCTAAATAAATTCGATAATATGTATGTCATTAGATTTATGTCAGGAATCATAATAGGATCCAAGACAATCTATCTGTGCCCAAATGGTGCATGACATTTATTATGAATGAATTTGGTCATTGATGAATGTGTTATTCCAATCTGAAACAAATACCATTACCAATATTAACCCATAGTATTCACTCTTATGATTTTGAGCTGTCAGTATTATCTTTCAGGAGTTATTTTGTAAATGATAAGTTTTTCCTTAATAGAAAGTTCCCTTAGAGAGCTTCTCTATATTTTGAAAATTGAAGAGCACTTATGCTAGAAAACTTTTTCCATAGTGCTTTTTTTTATGTTTTCATATATCTTCTGTGCAATCAACTGGCTCATGGGTGGGATTTCCACATCATAGGAATAGTCACCAGTTGGAAGGTAGTTGATGATCCTACAATTTTTCTGTCCTATTTTTCTTCAGGATATTTGCTGGTTACAACAAATCTATTAGGGTATTTGATATACATCGCCCTGGTAGAGATTTTCAGCAGTATTCAACAATTAAAGGAAGTAAAGAGGGCCAAACAGGTATTGTTTGGAGTCTACTTCCTCAAGATGGGTTAGTGGATGACTAACGCAGAAGGCTCAAGTATATTCTACTCTACTGCCTTCTGTTTTGGGGCTATTATATTGGCTATTGCTTTCTCCAACTCTCACTTGAGGTTTTCATAAGTATATCTGGCTCTGCTGGTTTCTGTTTCACAGGTATTATATCTACAATTGCTTTTTGTTCAACTCAAACTGGAATGCTTGCTGCTGGTTCTTACAGCCAGACAACTGCAATTTATAGGGAGGATAATATGGAACTCTTGTATGTTTTACATGGTCAAGAAGGCGGTGTTACACATGTAAGCGAGCATGTATGGTCATTCTTTTGGATCTCATTTTACAATGAACCAACAAAATGTATTTTCCTTTTAGGTCCAGTTCTCAAGGGATGGAAACTATCTGTATACTGGAGGTCGAAAGGTAACATCTGTCAATATGTTTGTTGCTATCTGAGGAAGAACTTTTCTTTCTTTAGATTTTAGAAAAGGAAATTCCTTGATAGGTTGTCAACTTTAGGAGTGTCTTATCTGAGGAACTCTGTCAGTTAGCATTTGGTGGTAGAATTGCTACTTTATTTTCGTGTCATCAAAGAGGAATTGAAACTAAATATTTCACATAATAGCTAACTGTTATGCCTATCTGCCAAAGAGGAAAAATATCTAAAATGTGTTCAATATCCGGTCGTAAAGGACAAACCTTTATTACTAAGCCCTATCCATAACTTTTTTAAGACAAATTACACATGGGTAATTGATGTGTGGGGATAATTATAAGTGGGTTCATTATTTTCATAAGTAATATTTTAGTCAGTCTATAAACTAAATTTCTTTCTTGAGTTACTAATTTGCTCAAATATTTTCTCGTGCACACTTTCAGTTCTACATTTACTTTTGTTTTTTCTTTATTATAGAAACTAAAATTTGTGTTTTTACAAGCAAAACAGCTTACTATGTCGTTTTTTATTAATAGTCATGTGTTTAATATGTCATAAATATATTTTAACATCAGTTAAAAAATGGTTCAAATTGATAGATATGTTTGATATGTTGGGACTACATTATTAATTTTGAAATTGTAGTTAAATCTAAACTTCATGTAATCTACTCCTATTTCTACCAATCTGCTAGAAGTAAGGTTTTGATTTACGGCAGCAGGGGATTTCTGCTGCAGTCTTTGTTTTCTGTTCTGACCTACCAAAAATTCCATAAGGTTTTAGCAGATGATTTTGCATGCTTGCATTTGGTGGGGTAGGGATGGTTCAGTTAGGTATGTCTGTTAATTTTAACACGTGCAAACTCAATCTTATACCACCTAAAATGATGCAAGTCACCTTAAAGAATTAAAAGAAATGATGATCGAATCTGATCCGCATACCCATTTTCTTTTAATGTTTTTAAAGAGAAGAGTTCATAATTGCATGGATAATGGATACAAGAAACCAAATTTTTTGTTCACTTTTGTCATTGGATCACTTAACCAACTATTTCAAGAATACCAGTTGGTATTGTTTTAAACTAAGGAATGGCGATATGGATACATATCATATTTATAGCAATATTTGCTGGCAGAAATCAAACAGATCCCCAATGGATGAGGCAGTGAGCTTTAATCCTACAATCTCATGAAGACAAGTTAAAACTTTCTAATCCTAACCCCCTAAAGTTTCCAGCCTTGCCTTTTGATTACCCTCCCCCCTATCACCCACCTTTGTGTGAGCTTCTTTTATTTACTTGCTAATTAATGGAAGGAGGATAGGACTCCTGTCTTGGAGCAAAAATTACTCTATCTAATGTCATATGCAATTTTTTGTACAGGCTTGTGGTTATTGACCATAATGCTCATTTTCTCATGAGCTCTTCAGATAGTTTGATTGCATGCATTACCATGCACTGTGAATATGCATTTTCTGACCCTGTATAGACTTAATTGTTTTCAAATTCTTCCAGGATCCTTACCTTCTATGTTGGGACTTGCGAAAAGCAGTCGAAGTAGTGTACAAGTATGTATGTTTAATGTTATCTTTTAACTAGTTTTTCTTTGTCAAATATGAACTACTATGATTTAATAAATAAGGCAAGTTGAAAGCCAATGCGGGCATAAAGCAAAATTTGGAAGCTTGAGCAACTAAAAGAGCTGAAACCTAGGACAACCTAAAAGTTAAATGGGATCTAAAAGAAAGCAAAATTCATTCTTTAATTGCATTTAATATCTTGCAAACTTTAAGTTAAAACTGATGTCTGATCTTCGTATTAAATGCGGAAGAGTGCGTTAAATGGCATTTTCTGGCCATTTGCAGCTTGCACATGGCACTCCAAGCTGCATATTTTTAGCTTGCTAAAATAGCTTATTTGAATAAAGGCATTGACAACAATGAAATGCCATGTTTCTTTGTGTTGGTAGGTTATATAGATCTGCCGAGCACACAAACCAACGAATACTGTTTGATATCGAGCCCTGTGGCCAATATCTTGGCACTGGTGGTCAGGTATCATTTGAGTTTTCTACAATTACTGTAGCACAATAGAAAATGATAGCTTTATCAATAATTAACTTTGTTTGCTTTCCTTTTTGCTTCCAACTTTTCAAGGATGGTCTTGTTCATATATATGATTTACAAACTGGGCAATGGATATCAGGCTTCCAGGCTGCAGCAGGTAGTGGGCAACATCTTTTAATGATTTTCTTGATTATTTTCTCACGTTTTCCCTTTAGTTCTTCAATGCCTAACATTTTGCTTCCATTATACACCTTGCAGACACTGTTAACGGTTTTTCTTTCCATCCGTTCTTGCCAATGGCTGCCTCATCGTCAGGACACCGAAGATTTCTTATTCCAGATTATGGCAGTGAGGATTTGCATTTGAATGGTATTTTCTAACGCTCTATGCTTCAAAATATTTTCTGTAGATGATTTTAGTATTTAAGATATCTAAACTGTCTCTAAGTCTTGGACAACCTATTTTTGTCGAGTTGCACTTTACAGAGATGTCAATTATGTTGTTTATGGTAATAATTTGATGGAAGTGTGTAGACTTTTTTCCAATCCAAGAACGTTATTGTCGAGGACTTGAGAACTGATCTATAGTTTTGGCATTGGATAAATGGAAGCATGGAACTTTCTGGTTTCTAATGCTAGCCTGCTATGACCTTCATTACCTTAAAACAACCGTATGAAAAAATAATGTTTTATTTTATTTTCTTCTAAAAATGATGGGGCTTTCTTTCAATTTGTGGACACTGTTGATGAGAATTATCAGTTTAAGGAACTGATAGAAGATAAGTTACCACAAATTCTTTTCTTTATTGGGTTATTTCTTGAAGTTTCATCATCTAGCAGTGAAACTTCAGGAGTAATCCCTTCACTGGACATAAAAAACATAGTCGCTTTCATATGATACCCGCATATATAATCCCTTTAAGGATGACACTTGTGGCTAAAGTTTCCAGTTTACTTTGCAGTAAATTATCATCGAACAATGATGATTAATTGATTAATTGAAATCATCGAACAATGATGATTTCAAGTTTCAGCTTTGAAGGTTCAGTTTCTCTTTTGGTATGATTAATTGATTAGGTGGTTGTTATTTTGTTGAATGACAAAATTCCACAGCAAGAAAATCATTGATATTAAGATAGAAGCCATTCTTTAGCGAAACGAATGCATATAAATCATTTAACAAAGTGTCTTCCTCTCTTGTAGGCCATGAAAACTGTGCTTCTGTTTGGAGCTTCTCCTTGGCTTCCATGACGAGTGATTGTGAGGGGAACAGGGGTGATATTGATGGGCAACTCGAACAATGAAGCCTGCATGAAAATGCTTAATAGCTGCGATACCATTCACTCTTCGGATACAGATTGCAATTTTTTCTCACAAATGATTACAACAAGCTTCATTTGCCTATTTATTTGTACAATTCCTTATTCAACATAAATGTAACTCTGAACTCCTTGATAATTATTTAATACAATATAAGGCTTTCTTGTTGCCTGTCATCAATCTTTCTTGCATCTCAAAAATCATTGTAAGAAATCAAACACCTCGACGAAAATGAGAATCTGTCCAAGAGAAACTGTACTGTTGTTCAAGAATCTGTATAGAAAAATGCCTTAAAGAGTATTGGTATAGAAAATTCTAGGACAAAATGCATGACAATTAGCATTAAGCTTGTGGATTATAGTTTTTCTAAATTATCAAGATAAAGTATATTATAGTTTTTTCCTAAAATAATATCCAACTTTTTCCTTCCTTTGGTTCAATTATGATCGAATTAAATTCTTGTTTTCATGTACATATCAAATACTAATAACGCTAGCTCGAGCTTTTAACAATGTTATTTTTTACTATAAACAATTAAATGACTCTAAGTAAGGGTGAATGAGAAAAAATTTACCATTTTTTTACTAATCAACAGAAAACAATCACTAGACAAGCGTTAGAATTGTCATTTATGAGTAATACTATTGTGTTTTAGACCATTTTCTAACATTAGTAAAGTGGATTTAAATTTTTAATAATATTATTTCTTATTATAAAATATTAAGTTACTGCATATAAAGGTGAATTTAAGAAAGAAGATGATATTCTGGTACCAATTAACTATAAGTAACCCTAACGTTTTTTCTGTATATTTCTAGATATTCATCTCAATATCTTTTTTTTTTTTTGAATTGTTTTACAGTTTGCAAAATTTGGTATGCTAATTAATGTTAATTTTATAATACAATGTACATATGTGAATTTTATGGTAGGAAAAATTTGAAACTTAAATCTACTTAAGATTTGTCTTCATTCAAACAAAATCCACCACTTCCTGAGAAAAAACTTTACAATAAATATTTCTAGTTAATGTAAAATATCTCTCAATTTTTTCACCATAAAAAATTATCTTTTGCAAATTATATCCCAAGGGGTAAATAGGTTTACTGGCTAAATACAAAATAGGTATATAAAACGACTCAACTTTCAAATATAATGCATGCAAAACGATGCTGGCGTTACCGGCTGACTCCGATCTACCACTACCAGCCACTTCAGCGTATTACTGATTCTTAGTATTTTATAATGATTGTTTGATCCAGAAAAGACAAACCAGCAGCATAATTTTGTATCCCTAAGAGCCTAATTTTTTTTTTTAAAACACATCAAATTTGATTTCGTAACCGGTGTAGCAGATGACGGAGAGAAATATATATCATGTGTAGTACTCTTTTTGTAATTCCTCACAATTTCTCTTGTTACTAAATCTAAGTATATCTAGCAGAATTTTCTTTCATTTCTCCTGTAATTTTGGTAAGAAAATTCTCAATCCAATCTATCAATGCTAGCTGTTCAAGGAAGGAAGAAGAAAACCGTGTCCGATCAGAAAACAAAGAGACACAGGCTTGACAAACATAGTGATAATAGTCTTGTTAATCCATATCACAACTCAATAATTTCTTACGATGTCGCCGGTGAAATTGTAGAGACTATCTTTACTTAACAGCCAAACAAGCAGTGAGATCAAATTTTCTTGCATCGAGATTCGAATATATTTTGAAGTATAACAAAAGCTTGATCTTTGAAGAAAAATTCGCTTGAAGGTACCACCGTGCAACACTTATCTCCATCATTGACCACATCTTCCGTCATCATGAAAGATCAAAAATCAAATCATTTCGTCTTTCCATAGATCCAAATGAGCCAATCATCCCAACCATTGAATCCTGGATCAAATAAACGATAAAAAAAGATGTTGAAGAGATTGAACTGAATTTTTTCAATGTAGGTACCACTCCTATCCTCTCTTCATATTGGCCTGATTCTGGAACAACTTTAAAAAGCTTGACAATCGATAACTGTGAACTCAATCTGTACCCATCAGAGCTTAAAAACTGGTGTTTCTTGAAGAATGTTGTTATGATATGTGTATATGTGAGTGTAGAATTCATTAGGGTTATTCTCGATTGTTGCATTTATATGGAGAGCTTGGAATTAGTCTAGTGCTATTCTATTATTATTTTGTATATTGATGCGAAGAAGCAGAAATAACTTAGAGTACTAAAAATTGAGAATTGTGAAAACTTGGTGGATCTTGAAATTAATGCTCCATCTCTGAAATAATTTCATTACAATGGAAAACCTATTTTCTTCAAATTTCATCATGTCGACAAGTTGAAAGATATATGTATGTTGCCTTAATCTAGAAAGGCTTTTCATTGATGTACGCACTTCTCACTACATATGCCATAGTATTAAATTTAGTAGTATATATATATATATATATAAGTTATAACTTGAACAGAACCTTAGTTATGTGCGATTTGAACCTTAACTGTTATTTTCGTTGGTTAAGTTTTATATCTTTTTTCAATGGTTTGAATTTATATTTAGTATAGATATGTATTAAATAAATCAAATTCATAATTAAGCATTACTTTATCAAACTGAATTCAAATATTCCCATCAAAATGTGCTATGCATAATAGTAGTAAAACTTCTAGTTCTAGTTTTTTTAAGAATAATTTTTTCTTTTTGGATTTTATTTTACCAAATAAAACTTTTTGTAGTTTAAAATTTTATACATTTAGATATCATTAATTAATAATAAAATCTTATCGAAATTTCAACACTATAGGTACAAAAAATCTTACTTTGATAACGAACTTCTTTAACAAATTTAAAATATTTAGATATTAAAAATGTAGTGGTATTATAGACTTAAATTTCTGGATTATTGGTTGTATTATAATAATTATTAGCTGAACAGAAAATACGATTGTAATAAAATTACAATTACATTGTATTGATTGGTCTAAAACAAGAAATAACTCATTGACTGAAAAACGTACTAAAATAAATTAAAAAGTCAAAGAAACGAAAAGAATAGTTGATACCATAAATAAATGAACATATTCGGAAATGAAAGCAAAGAAGAAACGACGTAACCTAAAATCGATCGCTCAAATAAGTTAATTGTTAAAATGGGTATTTCTAAATGCGTCATTACCATACGACAATCATATGGTTTAAAACTAATGACATGATTATTTATAAATCAAACAAGGGAGAAACATAATATTTTAAACAAAATGAGGATAACATTTTTGTACTAATTAAAAAAAAAATGATTGGACAAGCCTTAAAATCGTCATTAATGAGTAATACTATTGTGTTTTAGAACATTTTGAAACATTAGTTATATGAATTTAAACTTTTAATAATATTTTTTCTTATTATAAAAATTAAATTAATGCATATAAAAGTGAATTATAAGGAAGAAAATGTTATTTTGGTACTAATTAACCGTGAGCGAAAATGGTTTTCAAAATTCAGTATATTAATTAATGATAATTTTTTTAAGAACAATGAATCTGAAACTAGAAAAAAAGGAAATCAAAACTTAAATCTAATTAAACTCTATGTTGATTCAAAAGAAAATCCACCACCTCCTGAGAAAATACTTTGCAACCACCTTTTGAAAGCCGAAAATCACTGTAATTAAAATATTTAAAGTAATTTCCAAAAAACCCAGATTGAAACATGCAAGTAAGGATATATAGAATAATTAATTGTTATTAAAATAAAATATATGTGAATTTTGTTACCATAAGAAATCATTTCTTGTCGAAAACTAAAGTTGACTCATTAATGTTTCTAGTTAAGGTAAGATATCTCTTAATTTTCTTACCATAATAATTATTGGATAATTGCAAAACCAGTTCATGAATCCGGTCGACTACGATCCTCCGCGTCAGCGCATTAATGATTGTTTGCTCCAGAAAAGACAAAACCAGCAGCAGGATTTTGTATTCTCAAGAGCATAAAAAAATTTTTAGAAAAAGAATAAAATTTGTTTTAATAACCACTATAATAGATGTCGGAGAGAAATATATATGATGCTGTAGTACCTTGTTTGTGATTCCTCACATTTTCTCTTCTCGCTAAATCCGAGTATATCCGGCAGAATTTTCCTTTTTCCTGTAATTATCGTGAGAAAATTCTCAGTCCAATCTATTAATAGCAGCGAGATCAACACTCTATGATGTCTTATGATGTTCCCGGTGAAGTTGTAGAGACTATCTTCACTTACTTACTAGACAAACAAGCAGCGAGATCAAGTCTCATTGCATCGACATCAAGTCTCACTGCATCGAGATCCATATATATTTTGAAGTACAACAAAAACTTGATCTTCGATGAATAATTTGCTCGAGGGTACCACCGTGCAACACTTATCTCCATCGTCGACCACATCTTCCGTCACCATGAAGGATCAAAAATCAAATCATTTCGTCTTTCCATAGATCCAAGTGAACCCATCATCCAACCTTTGAATCTTGGATCAAATAAACGGTAGAAAAAGATGTTGAACTGGATTTTTCCAGTGTAGGCACCACTCCTATCCTCTCTTCAGATTGGCTTGATTTTGGAATAATTTAAAAAAACTTGACAATCGATAACTGTGAACTCAATCCGTATCTACCAAAGCTTAAAAACTTGCGTCTCTTGAAGAATATTGTTGTGAAATGCATGGATACGAGTATAGAATTCATTGGGGCTATCCTATATTGTTGCATTTATCTAGAGAGCTTTGAATCAGTCCAGTGCTATTCTATTATTATTCTGTATATTAATGCAACAAAGTAGAAATGAGTTAGAGTACTGCAAAATTGGGGATTGTGAAAGTTTGGTGGATCTTGAAATTAATGCTCAATCTCTAAAGCCATTTCATTGTAGTAGAAAACCTATTTTCTTCCAATTTCATCATGTCGACAAGTTGGAAGATATGTTGCTCACTATTAGTTCAGGAAAAGATCTTAGGCACACTTTTAAAATGATTGGAATTTTTAATCTACGTTGTCTTAAGATTCTCTTTACCACCAACAAGTTCCTTGAGGTATGACTACATGCTCATATATATTTCAAATATTTATCTTCAAAGTTTCTTACTTGAATGCACTTTTTTATTATAATATTTTTTTTTGAACAAATTTTGCTGTAGTTATCTCCTCGTGCAC